ATTTAATTCAGGGTTGGAGGTTGTGGGTGGGTGCTGGCAAAAACTATAAAATAGCTGGTGTTAACCAATTACTGATTAGAATTTTGAGAGAGTAACCCATCCATTTCAAAGATACTCAATAAAAACATTTAATCAATTGATTTTAATCACATAAAGACACACAAAAAAAAACTTCCTCATAAACTAATGCTATAGAAGGTGACTGAGGCATAAGTTTCATAATGAGTACTAAGATTATTAAAATGAACAATCAGCCATGCTAAAGTACATACTTCTTACACGTGTAAACAGACTTCTAAAATAAAACACACTATATATTTACTACCTGAGTTAAGTCAGCCATTCACAATTGCTCAGCATTACTGGCCAGCAAACGTCTTTTCAAAAGACATCTTAAAATACCAGTAACAATCAGTAACAAATTTTTTTATGGTAACATGTGACCATCTATTTCAGTAACATGCTGTTTCCTACTTTGTGGTTTTCCTTCATTGACCATGACCAGAGAAATGCTTTATTTATGCTTTTTTAAATATATATTGTTGATTAATTAACAGTAATAAGAAATTGAAGAACCCTTAAAAACATCATTTTCATTTTAGTTAACTTTTGTGACTATAAAAGTAAAAATGATGTTTAATTAAAGACACATGTAGAGAATTGAGAAATACAGGAATATTAATATTAAAATTAAAATCACCTATCCATTCATCATGCAGTGTCAGCACTGTTAAGATGTTGTTCTATTTTCTTTCAATATCTTCCATGTATATTGTTCTATTTTTTCTTTTTAGAATTATGGTTTTCTAAAGGTATATCTTGAAAACTTTCCCATCTAAATCTGCATGGGAGTAGAAAGATAACCACCAAAAAAGCATCAGTATCTTTGAAAGGCACAGTTTTATCCATTAAGTAAATGAATGAATGGTTATCAAAGTTTCCCTTTTCTGATTATAATCTGATGATCGATTACCAAAGTTCTGATGTTAAAAAAAAGAGAGAGAGAGAGAAATTCATTTTGTTATTATGCTATAAATGTCATAAAAGCCTGCTATTACTTCTTCTGGTAAACATGAAGACACACTCTGCTTGGATTTTAAGTTTTAAAGTTTGAGTCTATACAGTCCTGTCTGTACTCTGCAACGTATCTACACACTATCTGTATAAGAACAGTTCCAAAGGGAAGATGTGATTGTGAAATGTGCTACCACGGGGACAAAAAGAGAAAAAGCTTCTGTTGAACCCAGCACGACACCAAGCAGTTGCCACTGAACTCAGTTCTATCCAAGTCAAGCATCAGGATCACGTGCAGAGGGGTGGCTGTTTACCTGACTGAGCTCTACACAAGAGTGGGTCTAAAAGCTGCAATGTTATTAATGGAATCACTTCTAAGTTTAAAAAACAGTCAACCTTTCAGCCTAAAATGACTTCATGTTCACCACTTCAGAAAGTACCTTTGTACCTGAGCTGATTTCAGGTTCCAGAGCATGACCCTACTAACTCAGACTTTCCAGAACAACTCAGTACTGAAGATTAAATTGTCTTCCTCCTCCCCCCTGAACGCGTGCAAATGTCTCATGGATTTTTTAGATATTTTTACCACAAAAACATATGCCTTAAGCCACAACAAAGATAAGTTTCTATACCTAGTTACCGCAGGAAATAATGGCTGTTACTTGGGAGGGTTCCATTTAGAAGATACTGAAGATTAACTTACAAATTTTGCAAAAATAAAAGTTGCCTATGACTCTGCCTTGCTTCATCTATGACTCTCCACTGATCAGACCATCCCAAACCATACAAAGAGAAAGGTTTTTAAAACTATAAAAATAGCATACTTAAATAAGTAAAAGAGAAGAAAATAGTAGGATAAATCTGTAAACATTTTAATATCAAAAATATTAAGCAGAAAAAAGATCAGGAAGCAAAATACAAGGAACTGTAATTGGGAACAATGAAGTCGAAGCATTTACAGTTTTGTTCACCTAAGGAATTAGGTCAGAATTATAAACTATCACCCTACCTGATGTCCATCATTGAATATGGAAACAAAGGAATTGAAAAATTCTTGAATTGGCCAAAATCAAGTAGGAAGTAAAAATAAGGGCTCCAATCTTTTGTCACTCTGACTAAGAGGCTGTGATGATGCTTGCGGTCACTGAATCAACGGGTGGTCAGCTGACAGTTTTCTGAGACTTAACTAGTGGTTTTGATTCTTGGTAGATCCAAGAAGGAACCTCAAGCCAAAGGCAGCAATCACTTAAACAGTCACTTACAGACATACAGGCACACACAAATACACACATATACACATGTCATTTACTAACCTCTCAACCATTCCAAGAAAAGACAATGAATTATAAACCTTTTCACTCATCCTATCCCACCCATCCTGGGAATTCTAGGTTCACTCCCACTATTATGGTACCTAACCATTACACAAGTTGATGTACCCAGATATGAAGTGTCAGATGTGGCAAAACCGGAGAAATGAATCTCAGTATAAAGGAAATGGCAGAAGGGGGAAGGGGCAATTAATACCACATTTGACGTTGTACGTTGTATCCCAAAACTCCCTCTTCTCCTTTAAAAAAAAAATAATAAAACCTGTAACCCCAAAATGTACCAGAAGCAAAATATTCACTCTCTTAAAATATGTTTGCCATCTTCTTTCTGAAGGATTTAAGCAGTTTCCCTTAAGTCAGTGTTTCCTAAATAGATCTTTAGATGAAAAAGTAATACAAACTAGGCCCCTTTTGCACCTATCCAAACTGGGAGTAAATACTGTACCTCAGCAACAATTCAGGATTCAGAAACACCAGGTAATACTGGTTAAGGGATAACTGGTGAAAAAAAAGAGGAATACAAATCTTTGCAACTGGAGCATTCTAATTCCTCACTGACTGAGAAATCAAGTTTATAAGCTGAGTCAAACAGCCTAAGAAAATCCTCCCACATTTCCATTGGTCAGTGACTCTAAGAGCGGCCTGCTACACTCTTATCTAACATAGTGAAACTGTGATTTTTTTCTGCTGAAAAACTAAGTACCTTATTGCAAAAATTCCCAAAAACTAAATAATAACAATGCATATCCTCCCAAACTTACCTACACAATAAATATTAAAACCTGACAAAATTTACTTGTAGGCAAATAAATACCTATGAATTACTTTGAAATACTGTGTAAACTCAGTTCTCATTAATACTTCCTAGGCTGATTTTGAAAAACCATCATGCTATCAAAAGTGTCAAATAGATAAAGAGCTAAAATAGAAATCAGAAAGTTGAAGCCTAATGTTTAGTTCATCCACTGAGTACTTAACATTACAATGGAATGAACTGTTTGGGGTAAAGACACAATGCCAAAGTCACCAGTCCAGCTCTCTGATTCATTAACAATTCACACACCTCCTTAAGAAATGTAAGGGCCACAAAAATATAAGCATAATGTAGATTTTCCTTGCAACTTCCTGGAAAAAAAAATTGGACTCTTTCATTCATTTCTTCCTCCCCACAACCTTATGAGGTAGAAACTTACTATTCTCATTTTTAGACATGAGGAAACTGAGGGACAGGGTGATTATGTAACATGCCCAGGGTCAAACGTTCACAGGAGGAGAAGTCAGGATTTGACAAGCATTCTGGCCAAAGAGCCCTCTCCTGCTGAACCACCAGCTTACACACACCTACAGTGTCTTTGGTGAGAAAGGGTGAAGTGCAGAAGAATTCATCTGAAAAATCTTCAAAAACAGACATCCTATGATTTCTCTCAGATGCAAATGCTACCTCACGATTTACAAACCCAACATTAGCCCTTGCCATTGTTATTTTTTTCTTCCACACTTCAGTTTCACAATTAACATTGATTTAAAGGGATAAAGTTATATTGACCTCTCTTCTTTCACCCAGTAGGGAAGGTGCACAAATAACCAACTGTTGAAGTACTGGTGACTTCCCTGTCCCCTGCTGAGTAGGCACCACTCCGTTATGAAATAGCAAGCCGTCACCGTCCAGGGACACTGCAATGTTAAGTCATGCGCCCTAAAACCGAACAGCAGAAAACAGTGACCAGCCAGGAGTGGACACACCAGTTCTGCAGCCTGAAATCTATTAAGAGTGCGGAGTCTAAGTACTGACAGCAAAAGTTTAAAAAAAAAAAAAAGGGCGCCTCAATACATACTGCGGTAGTATTCACAATCAGGACAGGGAGACAATACTAGTAATCCAGGAAGTTCTATTTAAACATCTAGCATCCTGTGATGTGAATATGTAGTATATGTATGTTTCCCCCATTCACAAATCAACTCGAATTTCAGGAGCCCCGCCCTTGGCGGAGACATCCAGGAGAGGTTCAGGACTTGGGCGGGCCAAGGCCAGGGAAGGCGGGCAGGTCTGCGTTCTGGAACCCTGGAGGCCCCCGGGCACCCCTGCGCTACCCCCGCCGGCGGAGACAGTCCCCGTTTGGCAAGGCCGGGAGGAAATTACTTCAGCGAAGAGGGGCCGGCGAGCTCCTCCCGCAGGCAAAGCCGCACTGGGGCTCAGCACAGCGCCCAAGTTTCAAGTCCAAGGCCACGGACTTGAGTCCACCGCTCCTACAAAGCCGCGCGGGGCACAGGGGCTGGAGCGGTAGCGAGCGCACAGGCGCGGGGCGGAGGTACTCGGTGTCACCCTTAGGGGCAAACACACACCTAACCAAACCGCCCCGGGGGGGAGCCGGCGAGGGCTTCCTCGCGCAGCCTGTCTCCGAGCTTTTGAATCACTTCCTCCTTTCCTGCTGCGGCTCTGGGCTTGAGATCACCAAGTCGCTGGGAGTCTCGCCTCCCGGGCCGGCTTCCTGCGAGCCCACGAGCGAGCGGGCCGGGCGCACTGCGCTGGCGGCGGGCGCAGCCCCGGGCCCCGCGGCCCGCCACCCGCGAGGCCAGCTGGGGGACGCGGCGGGGCGAGGGGGGCCCGGAGGGGACCCGAGGGGGCAGAGCGCGGCCCGGCGCGCCCCGGCTTACCCCAGGGTGCTGATGAAGCCGTTGACCGAGCCCTCCGCGTACAGGGACACGATGTCCCCTATGTAGAGGAAGCTGGACATTTTATCAGACATGCTGCCTCATGCTCCGCGGTGGGCGTCCCTCCGCTTCCCTGCGCCCCCGCCGCCCGCTCCCGGAGCCGCCGCGCCCGGCGGAGCGGCGCGCACCCCTGCGGCGCCGAGGGCGCGGGGCAGCCGGTCTGGAGCCGCGCGGCGAGCGTGCAGCCGGGCGCGCGAGAGCCGCGGCCGCCGCCTCCCGGCAGGCTTCCTGTTCGTCTCCGAAGTTTTCTCTCCAGCGCCTTTGCTCCTTCTCCGCCGTCCCCGCGCCTCCTCCCCGCTCTGCGCCCCGCTGCCGCGCCGGAGCGGCCGCCCGCAGAGCCCTCCAGTCCCCTCGGGGGAATTTTTGGACCAGGTGGGGCGGCCCGTTGGGCGAAGGGGAGGAGAGGAGGCCTGGGAAGAGGGTGTGGGGGGCCAATCAGGGAGCGGCTGCCGGGGGCGGAGCTGGCCCGGGGCGGGGCCACCCCGGGGAGGCGGGGCTCCCGGGAAGCCGCCGCGCGGACCCAAGCCGACCGGAGGCCGGGCGGTGGGCGCTCCGAGCCTGGCCGGGGCGTGGTGTGGCCTCCCGCGGGAGGCTGGACACGGGGTGCACCAGTCCGCGCCTGGGAAAGCGAAGGACGCGGGGCCGAGACGCTGTCCCGGAGCTTGACGGGGGCGGGGAGGGTGACGGGGGGTGGGCGCGAAGGACGCGAGCTCCGGAGGGAGCCAGGAACGCCTGGAGGCGGAAAGGTGGGGCCGCACTGGGCTGGGGAGGGGAGGGTAATTTGCTGATGGAGAGGAAGGTGTTGAAGTAAAGGGAAAAAAAATAAATACATAATAAATGAAATAGGGAGAAGGGAGGGATAAAGTGAGGACGGAAGGAGAGAGGGGAGGTCTATTTGAAGTGTGCAGTTCCGGTTTTTGCCCCAAGTATAGGGCGTTAGTGAAACTTTACCCTTAATGTCTAGGTGGACGCGGACCTCCGTGGAGGTAAAGGGCCCTTGGCCAACACAGCAGTTTTGGTAGCCAGCTGGCGGGGGCCAACCTTCTCTTTACGCTTCCAAGGCAGCGCCTCCTGCTCTTGACGCCGAGCCGAGGTTTAAGCTTCCACCTCTGGAAGGCTGCTCTCACCGTGCAGTGACAGTCTGTTTGCTTACCTGTACGGCTGCTGGCTCCTCAATCCCCAGTGGTCCTAAATGAAAATGATGGCAGGACACGTTTCCACACCTTGTCGGTTGCTTTTGGAGCCCGCATCTTGCTGGGGAGGAAATTTCCTCTGTCCCTGAAGTTCTTCTAGCGGGTCTGGAATGAAATTGACATGAGATAGATTAACAGGAGAAAAAAAAAATTAATTACCTGCATACAGGAACCTGGGTTTCAAAGACAGGGAGAATGAGGTCTACGTGTCATCCTGAACCCAGGAGAAGGGGGTGGGGGCCTGAGACTTCAAAGGAAAAGGGAAGTCATTCACCGGAATATGTAAAGAGTAAATATTTGGTAAACAAATACTTGATGGGGCACAGAGAAGAATTATAACAGATTTAGCCACATCCCTCCTGCCTACCACACCTAATTTACACTATAATATAGCTCTCTGTGGCGATACTCTCCTCCTGAAGTAGTTCATCTAAATTATTTTTATACAGTTGGGCAGTAGGAGGTCAAAGTATCTTCTTGAGTCTTTTGGGCCTTGATGGTTTTCAGCTCAAAATAATCTGCATGTCACAATGGCACGTGTTGGGGCAGCCTGCCCTTGTTCTCTACAATCTCATAACATCATTTTAGAAGCCTTTTGCCCTACCTTTCTGGAAGACAAGGAAGAGGCGAATTCTTTGGGCGTTGGACTGTGATACTAGCCACCCAATCAAAGAATTACAACCTAAGTAATTTAAGAGCAAATTTTGTGGAAAGGTGGAGAAAAGATGTGCAGAGGGGTGTATGCCCAAAATTTAAGTTTACAGTTCAAAGATCTCTTACATGTCTTACAGGTCCTGGATGGTTTTGGTTAAGACTTATAATCCCATAGTGGAATATGAAAGAAAAATAAGCTTGATATTCAAATGTGTCTGTTTGGAAAACCAGCAGGATAGAAAAGAACAGTGTTAGACCCAGAATCCAGGAAATGCCGGAGCAAAGCCTGTATGTGTTGAGATAAACTGTACCCAGTCATTTTCCTAACATGTAGCTGGCAGATCTCTCTTTACTTCTGTGTCTTCCTCTGGAAAAGGTTATTTAGCAACATGGAAATGCCTGTTACTCTTCGTATGTTGACAGATAGTAACTGCACTCGGAGTGAGGATTTAATAATACTGGATAACTGTTGAACCACTGTGTTGTATACTTGAAATGGAAGATTGTATATCAACTATGCTCCAATAAACAAAAAAGAAGAAATGCCTGTTGCATAATAGAAGCTCTCCTCTGTCTACATAAATGGGAAAGCACTCTTGGGAATCTCCATGACACTGAACACATGAGCTGTTAAAACCTTGAGATGGAACAAGATGATGACCCTGGACAAGGAGGTTTCTGTTAATCCAGGGATCTGTATATTACTTCTGTGGCTCCGCATGCTGCACAGTTCTGGGCCAAACATCCAATGGATGCTCAACAATTCCTAGTCAAAGTCATGAATGTTTCTCTTTGTTTCCTCTCTGCACAAACTATCAACACATTACAAAAACAAGTGGGTGATTGTTTATGCTAATGAACAGATACAAACTTCAAGCTATGTACCCAGGTCTGTCTCCCTCCTAGACCCATCCCCTCCACCCGCCACCAGCTTGTCCCATAGAATTTGAGGACTGAATCTGGTCACTGTTTTTCAGTAGCATGGCAAAGATGGTCAGCCAGACAGCAAAGATTCAGGCCCTCCTTCCACAGCAGCCAAGATGCCTTCAAAGGGTCTTCCCAGCCTTACCTGTTATGGAATCTCTATCCTTCCATGTGCTCAGCTCGAAGCCCTGGAATCATTTTTCACTCCTTTCTCTCTCACACACCACATTCAGTTCATCAGCAAATCCTGTCAGCTCTGTCTTCAAACTATAAACAAAATCCAGGTATTTCTCAATAATCCTACAACCCTGGTTCATGCCCCCATCATCTCTTCCTGGGCTGCAACAGACTCACCACTAGTTTCCCCTCTTCCACCTTTGCACCTTTAAGATCTATTCTCAGCCAAGAAGCCAGACCACTGCTATTAAAATAGAAGTTAGGTCAAGTCTCTGCTCAAAACACTGCAATGGCTTTCCATGGCTTACAAGGCCCTAAGTTGACCCGCCTCGTGGGCCGACATGGGAGAGCTGTGCAGGTGCACCTATGGGAGCAGCACAGCTGTAGTGAGCAGGTCACATCTGCACAGCCATTCTAAAAGCAGCTGGCAATCTCACACCACCTCTACCGCTTGTCTGACCTCATCTCCACCCACTGTCTTTACCTGCATTCTGACCACCTCAGCCTTCTTGCTCACCCACACAGGGGCCCAGCCTGCTCCCTGTAGAGGGCAGTACACTTGCTCTTCTCTGCCTGGCATGTCCTTCCTACATGTATTTGCAAGGCTCATTCCCTCTCCTCCTTCAGCTCCTTTGCTTTCACCTTAGCAGAGGCAGCCTTCCCTGACCACCCTATAGAAAATACTGCCTTCAGCCCCATTTGCTATCTCCCCTACTCTATTTTTCTTCTTAGATAATTTTATCACAGCATCTTACACATTTATTTATTTATTGTCAGCCCCTCCCATAGAATATAAGTTACATGATGGCAGAGACTTTGCCTATTTTCACTACTTCTCATTCCACTACTGTAAAGCAGTTCTTGGCACATGATAGGCAATCAATAAATATATTTTGGAAAAGTGGGAGAAAAAAAATCACCTAATGCAAATGTCTTTATGGAGTCTCAGGGACCTCTGTGAAGCTTGCTGCCTCCGAGAGTAACCATACTACATTTGGGGTGCAGGTTCATCCTGATCTCAGATCCCTAAACTTTCTTGAGGTTCTATCATTGTCCCCTTTAAAGCTAATCTTGGGACAGAGACCCCAACTTAATAAACCTAATCCTAATCCTAACCTACCCTAAATTACATGTCAACAAATTCCATTAACCAGCAGTGACTTTAGACAACTCCCACTTAAGAGAAGAATGAATGAAAAGGAGAATCTGAATTTGCTGAGATTAAGCCTGCAGTGACTGAGAAAACCTGAACACAGTACAAAAACAAGTGGGTGATTGTTTATGCTAATGAACAGATACAAACTTCAAGCTATGTACCCAAGTCTGGGACTTGTATCTAGCATGTAAAGAACCCATACAACTCAGTAATAAAAAGGTAAATAACTCAATATTTTTAATGAGCAATGGATCTGAACAGACATTTCCCCAAAGAAGATCTACAAATGGCCAAGAAGCCCACAAAAAGATGCTTAACATCATTAATCATAAGGGAATTGCAAATCAATACAAAAATGAGATATCATTTCATACCCACAAGGATGACTATAATCAATAACACATGTTGGCAAGGACATAAAAAAATTGGAACTGTCAAACTCTGCTGTTAGGAATGTAAAATAGTACAGCGCTTTCAAAAATAGCTTGGCAGTTCCTCAAAAATTTGACCTAAAGCTACCATTTGACCCGCCAATTCTATCTCTGGGTGTATACCCAAGAGCAACGAAAACATGTATGTACACAAAAACTTGTACACAAATGTTCCAAGTAGCTTTTTGTATGATAGCCTGCTAAGTGTTCTTTTCCTACATATATATACAACAATAATATATAACAATAATAGTAGTATTATACACAGCAGTAATACTAGTATAACTCCATTCGGGTTCCCAGGCCCGATTCCAATGTGTGCAAGTATGTGGGAGGGGGTCTTCCCACACAAACACCAGCAGGGTGACCAAGAACTCCACTCCATCCTGACGCTCGCTGTCTGCCCAGAGACTGCACCAGATCCCCCAGGTAAGGGCCCCATCCTACAAGACTGCCCTCCAGCCCCCACTCCAGATGCCAGTCGCAAGCTGCAGGCAGTTACCTGTGCTTCTGAACTACCAGCTGCAGATTGGAGGTTCTCACAACCTCCCCCTTAGGTTCTATTAATTTGCTAAAGCTATGCACAGAACTGAGGAAAACACTTACATTTACCAGTTTAATAAAGGATACCATAAAGGATGCAAATTAACAGCCAGTTGAAGAGCTACACAGGGCAAGGTCCGAAATAAAGGAGCTTCTATCGTGGAGAGACGGGCCTAGCTCAGTGGCAGACAGGAGCATTCTGATTCCCCACGTGCAGACGCTCTCTCCAACAGAGAAGCAGGAGCCGAGAGAGCAGAGTGATAATCTCTTCTCAGGGGTTTTTGTGAG